ATCGAACAATTGCTCTTGTAATCTTCTCCCGAAGTACTACTCGCCTATTCAAAATAGATTAACGTTTATATTCCGATGAAATCAATCTATTAAGAACGCATTAAGACTACGATATTTAATTAAGCACGGTGACTAGGTATATTCCTATCCTAACCACAAATCTGCCCCCTCAGAGTTAAGATCGTGCTCTCTTCAATTCTTCTCTAATCTAAACATGGCTTTCCCAAGAATAGCATATATAGTAAGTAAAACCTAACTGCTGGCCAGGCAATTAAGCAATTAATCATAGAATTGAAGAAACAACCATATACTGGTGAATTATAAATAAGGTTAAGTTAATGTTAAACAACAATATTCATGGCTAAATCACAATCCCAGAACTATGGGTTTTAGCTACTCATGATAGTATCAAACAATTTCGTAAGTGTTGGATAATTGAAAATACTAAGAAAAGATGAAGAAAACTGAGATATCCTCTCTCCTCGATGTTTTTCCTGTGTATTCTTCCTTCAGAGTGGCGTCGTCCCTCCAAAAATAGGCTTAGTCTTTCTTTTATACACATTGGGTAGGTCTAGGGCTGAAATAAACTTGTCCGGGGCAAAGTTGGATACATTTCCGTCACCAGCGTCCAGGGCAGCGTGGGGTGTTGGCCCTGGCGCTCTCTTGCTGAGAATTCTGTCCACAGCGCCACAGGTGGCGTGGGGTGCTGCCCGTGGCGCTGGAAATCATATTTTCCATTGTTCCTCCGTTTTGGCTCTAATCTCGCACCTTTCGCTCCCCCAATTGCTTCCGGATCATTCCTAGACATAAAAACACAACTAATTAATATAAATCAATATATTTTACATCCGAAATCCACAAAATACGAGTAAACCAAGAGGTGATATACATATAAATATATATACTTTAAGCTAATTATCAATACTCCACACTTAGAATCTTGCTTGTCCTCGAGAAATGGGACTATCAAATATACCCCAACTACGTACAAATCTCAACTATAGAAGATCACTTCAATTTTTAACCATACACCCTACCCTTGACTATTATCGATACCGGCAATCAAGCATGAACATACAAAATTCACATTCTCCCCGTTTTAAACATGCCCAAATATATCCATTGCAATTCAAACAACCTATCCGTAACCACTCTACCTCAAGAGCTGACTCATCACGACTAAGCACCCCACTCGCGCACTCACCCAACAAGAGAGTTTATAACATTACCAATCCTTCCTGAGATCGTGTGCCCTCACCAACAAACAAAAGAGTGAATATAGAATAGTCCACACATTCGAGTATGCCTTTGAACATAATTTAAGGACATCATACAGTTGAACAAAATTCATGTGCATCCCATTGTCGTACCATAAGCTTGCCCGTAGTGTATATCTCTACTCATCTAAGCTAGCCAAATCTAGGATCAATTAGGACTTTAAGGTTGTAATGTAAGCTAAGGGACGGGTAAGATACCTTTAGGAATAGTGACTCACCCTCCTAAGCACTTTAATACACTACACTCAAATATCGAGCACATCTTCTTCTCAACCAATTCACTCGTCATACACCATATATAACATAGCCCTCTTTTCAATTAAGCACCTCTATATTTCCATTAGCACGAATTAGTAGGATTAGGATATGTGTGTTTTTCTACATTATTTGACTACCATTGTTTTCTTGAAATTTTTTCTTTTTTTCTTTTTTCTTTTCTTTTCTACACACACTTCATACATTAAGGTTCATCGGCTAGTGACCGTTTTCTCAACTTTATTGTACTAAAGGGCCCTTCCATGGTTCCACTCGAAAGCTACTCCACAATCTCTCACCTTATTTCTTTTAGCGACTATGTGCCTTAGGAGGTAAAGGTTCAACAATCTCAATTAAGAACAAAATATGGGCACGGCTTGTAATGTGGGTGCCAAAGGAAAGCTTTATAGGCTCAAAGGGGCTAGCAACGGAAAATTTTATTTTCAAGGGACAAGCATATCTATGCTCAAGCAAGAAACGCCTAAATATTTTGGTGTTTTTAATCAGACTTTATGCCTTAAGAAAATTGTCCAACAGATCCATCGTCGGAAAAAGTCCGAGCTTTTTCTAAATATTTTTTCTTTTTGCATTTTTGTATTTTTTTTCCTTTTTTCTTTTTATTAAAACAAACTAGACTAAAACCTAGACTAAGTAAAAACTAATAAAAGAAATTAATTGATACAATTTATACAAAGTACATCATAAGTAGTAGTTCTCCCACCCCACACTTAGCATATGCATAGTCCCCGATGCATGTAAAAATGTAAAGTAAAGTAGGGTGAAAAGAAAACTCCATATCAGTCAAAGTCCTCCTCCTCTTCCCCGCCATCCGCAGCTCCGTGTACATCATCATCAGGTCCTAGAGGCACCAAAGCCATGGGCACCGTGACATCATCACCAATCACATTCTCCATGTCGGATCCTTTGTAAGTGTTTGCGTCCTCCGATGAGTGAACGGGGCTGTCAGGTACAATCCCCAACATCTCTTTGGAATAACTCGACAAATATTTGCGTAAATGCATACGCTCCTCTTCGGATACACCCTTCCTGCTCATGAGTACATCTAAAGAGTTATAGTGTTACCTGTTGAAGTTCTCATCTCTTTCATTCCGTGTTGCCAAAGTGAGCTTAGACATATCCTCCAACAACCCTTTAGGATCCTTTGACCACCTTATCATACCCTGGGTATTCCGGCACCTTCCAGGAGAGCATATATTGCATGTGCAAGTTGCCTAAGAAAAACCTCTTAACCTGCCGCCCAAATCATGTGCGGGCTATATCCCCCAGTATGATCTCACCCACATTAATGGGTCTCCAAGTCATCAAAAAGAATATCACACATACTCAAGATCGAGTGCATTCACTGTTGCATTCAACTCGCATGAGTCGAGCCTGCACGAAATTCTGCCACACTTTCGTGGTTTTGTTAAAATTAGAACGAACCATCTGAAGATGGATATCACCTTGCTTTCTGGCCCACTTGGCATTTGAATCGATGCCACAGAGAGTGTGACGTATCACCGTGTAGCATGGGATTTTGACAAATTTCGTTAGCCTCCTCGGGTCAGAGTTCTCAACACCCAAAAATTCACACAAGGACCGCCTATTCAGTGGGACGTCTATTCCACAGACATGTGACATGAACAAGTCCGCATTCCAGTTGGCATACAGTTCCCGCACCATGCTCAAATTTGCATGGCCTGGCCATTATATGAGTTTGTCCATGTTCAATGCTCGCAACCGGCCAAGCACGTCCGAGAAGTCCCTTTCTTAAGTTTTCATATTAATCTCCATCTCGGAGACGTACCGCCCATATGGAATGAAGTCCCTATGCCATGCGATAACAACATCAGTAGTTATTTTCAAACGCGTCCTCGGTTTCAATGGTGCCTGCTGTGATCCCTTGGCAACTTGTTCCCCTTAGCTTGACTCGAGGATCCTTCTCCTTGCTTGCGCTTTTTGGGCGCGGGGGCAGTGGTGGAGGACTTTCCTATTGACTTGCCTTTGTTTGCATTTCACGAGCCATAGAAACCTGCAATACAAATAAGCATGAATGTAAGAACGAATCAAGAAATTTGCCTAAGGTTGTCACGCGAGTCAAAAATGACCCCACACTTAAAATCGAAGGCTCAATGTGTAATATTCACAATCGTTGTCTAAAATGCACAAGTGTTGCACCACAATGCAATGGCTACTTAAGACTTTCCCATGCCACACAATAGCTAAAAGGCACTAACTACGCCACACAAACAAGTGATTGATCATGGCAAAATAAATTAACCTCAATGCAAGCAAGTGGCATATGGTACTTAATTTTTACAACTACTACACTAAATTAGCTAATCCTACAAAGTGCTACCATATACATACATAATACATGATACATGGTGTGGGCAACATGTGTTCATTAAAACCAAACTCTCAAGTATGTAAAATCATCCCCACACACCCCACACTTAGCCCGATATCATATACAACTACACTTGATTACTCAGACTTCACCGGTGCACAAAATATTCATTCAACCATTTTAGTAAACACCTTGTGGGCATGAAGTATGTGCACTTTAGTTTAACAATAGTGGAAAATAGTGGACCTCCCAAATTTCAACAAAGTAAAGGGAATTCTAGTTTACTACTCCACATTCAATACAACCACAACTAATTTCGTCCCACATTCTTACTATCCACCATAGAACAAGTCTTAAGAAGCAACTTAGGTGCAAAATTTAGGGATTAGGGTATTTGGAAGGTGGGATATTTATTTTCATCTACCTATTAAAAGAACAAAAAGAGAAGAAGAAAATATACCTGTAGAATTTAGGATGAGAGAAAAAGAGAAGATGGAGAAATTTTTGAGAGAGGAGGGAGAAGGGTTGCGGCAAAAGCTTGAGAGAGGGAGAGATTTACGGTGAGATGAGAGAGAGAAATAGAGTTAAGGTTTTGGAGTTGTGTTTTAATTTAAGATGTGTATGTGTATGGGTTATAAGGTGGGTTATAATGTTAGTATAGATGGGTATACGGGTTGGGTTAGTGAGTTGTGTTAATGGGTATGGGTATTAGTCTAATAAATAAAAACAAAACAAAAAAAAACAAAAAAAAACAAAAAAACTTACCTGGTCACCCCCCAGCCCAGCGCCACATGCTAGGCTTGGCGTTGGGGAGTTTCGACAATCTGTAAAGGGCGTCCCAGGCAGCGTGGTTCGCTGGCCTGGGCGCTGATTCGCGAAATATTTTATTTTTATTTTTATTTTTTTAAATAACATCCCGATCCCCCGAGCCCTATATATATCCAATTTACATGGCCCACACCATTCAACCTATAAATTCTCTATCTACAAAGAAAATGCAAACTCTTGTCTACTCTAACTAAAAAACAAATTTAAAAACTAAGCTATGAAAGCAATAAAAATAGGGTTGCCTCAAAATAAGTGCCTGATTAAACTCGCGGCACGACGCATGATATCGCTTACTCATCAGCGAGTGCTACTTTTGTCTTCTCACGATCAATTATTCCTCCCCAATCATGCTTGTCTCTGTGTCCGTTCACTAAAACATTTCTTTCACCATTTAAAACGCGTAGCTTAATTGCACCATAAGGAGCGACCCTCACCACCTCAAATGGGCCTGGCCATCTCGATTTTAACTTTCCAGGAAACAACTTGAGCCTATAATGGAACAATTATACTTGTTGGCCTGGTTCGAGGTGACGTGGTTTGATACGCTTGTCATGCCATCTTTTCATTTTCTCTTTGTAAAGCTTAGCATTTTCGTAAGAGTGCAACCTGAACTCGTCTAACTCATTCAACTGAAAGAGTCTCTTCTCGCCTGTGCCCTCAAGGTCCATATTCAACTTCTTAATGCCCCAGTATGCCTTGTGTTCAAGTTCAACAGGCAAGTGACATGCGTTCCCATAAACAAGCTTATACGGCGACGCCCCAATTGGTGTTTTGTATGTAGTTCTATATGCCCACAAGGCATCATCTAACTTTGCAGCCCAACCTTCCTATTCCCACTCACCGTCTTCTCTAATATTTGCTTTATTTCTCTGTTAGATACCTCAGCTTGTCCACTTGTTTGCGGATGATATGTAGTGGCAACTCTATGGCGGACTCCATATTTAGCTAGAAGGTTATTCAACAACCGATTACAAAAATGTGTCTTTTCATAACTAATCAAGGCCCGTGGAGTCCCAAACCTCGAAAATATATTCTTTTTCACAAACACAGTTACCACCATAGCATCATTTGTTGGCAATGCGATCGCCTTTACCAATTTTGACACATAGTCAACTCCTTGCAAGATGTATTTGTTTCCTATGGACAATGGGAATGGTCCCATAAAATCTATCCCCCCATACATCAAAAATCTCGTCCTCCGGGATGTTATTCAAAGGCATCTCATGCCTCTTTGTGATTGATCCCGTTCTTTGACAGTGGTCATACTTCTTAACAAATGCATGGGCATCCTTGAATAATGTTGGCCAAAAAAACCCAGATTGTAATACCTTTGCAGCTGTCCTATCGCCCCAATGATGGCTCCCATAAGGTGATGCATGACAATCATACAACACTAATTCTGCCTCATTTTCTGGAATTCATATCCTCATCAACTGATATGGCTCATCCCAGTAGTAGAAGTTCACATCATGTAGAAACCTCTTTCTAGCTTCAGATTCAATTTCAGGAGAAAGTACACCACTCACAAGATAATTCACATAGTCCGTGTACAATGGGGGAGGGTCTTGGGTGATAATAAAAAGTTGCTCATCAGGAAATGCCTCTTTAATTTGTCCACCCTCCTCCACATGGTCATGGATCTCCGGCCTTGATAGATGGTCAGCTATTTGGTTCTCTGTGCCATTTCGATCTCGTATTTCTACATCAAATTCCTGCAACAACAAAATCCAACACGTTAATCTAGCCTTGGATTCTTTTTTTTTGTAAATAGATACCTGATTGCTACATGATTGATATGGACTATGACTTTTGTTCCCATCAAGTATTCCCAAAATTTCTCAAAGGCCCACACAACGGCCAACAACTCCTTTTCAGTGGTAGTGTAATTTAGTTGTGGATCATCAAGAGTCTTACTCGCATAGTAGATAGAATAAAACATCTTGTCCTTCCTTTGGCCTAGCACTGCCCCAGTAGCATGGTCATTTGCATCACACATAAGTTCATATGGTAAGGACTAATCAGGTGCCGCAATAATGGGGGCAGCCACCAACTTCATTTTGAGCTATTCAAATGCCTTCAGGCAGGCGCCATCAAAATTTAAAGTTACATCCTTTTCAAGTAACCTGCACAAAGGAGTAGCAATTTTTGAAAAATCCTTAATAAAGCATCGATAGAATCTCGCGTGTCCCAAGAAACTCCGGACACCCTTCACAGAAATGGGTGGAGGTAATTTTTCAACCGCCTCCACCTTCGTCTTATCAACTTCAATGCCGCTTCTTGACACTCTGTGACCTAACACTATGCCTTCTTGCACCATAAAATAACACTTTTTCCAATTCAACACTAGAGTTTTTTCTTCACAACGGGCTAACACCTTGCTCAAATTCTTCAAATAGTCATCATAAGAAGACCCAGGGACTGAAAAATCATCCATAAAAACTTTCACAAATATTTCCACCATATCGGTAAAAATAGCCATCATGCATCTATGGAAAGTGGCTGGTGCATTACAAAGACCAAATGACACTCGCTTGAAGGCGAAAGTACCATAATGACAAGTAAAAGTGGGCTTCTCCTGATCCTACGGGCATATGACAATCTGGTTGTACCCCGAATAACCATCAAGGAAGCAATAATATTCATGCCCCGCTAATCTGTCCAACATTTGGTCAATGAATGGAAGTGGGAAGTGGTCCTTGTGGGTTTCTTTGTTGAGCCTTCTGTAATCAATGCAAACTCTCCACCCTGTCACGGTGCGAGTAGGAATTAGATCATTTTTCTCATTCTCTACCACAGTCATCCCTCCTTTTTAGGCACGCATTGCACTGGGCTTACCTAGTTGCTGTCAGAGATAAGAAAGATAATACCTGCATCGAGCCACTTAATTACTTTGTTCTTAACGACTTCTTTCATAATGGTATTTAATCTCCTTTGCTGCTCAACACTAGGGCGGTGTCCATCTTCCAAAAAGATTTTATGCATGAACAATGATGGACTTATTCCCTTGATGTCAGAAATTATCCACCCTATAGCCTTTTTATGATCACGAAGTACTCTAAGCAATTTTTCTTCTTGTACATTAGTCAAGATGGATGAGATAATCACTCGCAATGTCTCAGAGTTCCCAAAATAAGCATAGAGCAAATGCGCTAGAAGGGTCTTAAGTTCTAGCCGTGGAGTTTCTTCAATAGATGGCTTAGGAGGGGTTAGAGTGACAGGCCTGTCCATCTCCTCAAATTTCCCAAACCCATGGACATACATGTCTTGTACTTGCTCAATTTCTCCCATCATCTCGTTTTCACTGTCTTTTTCATCCCCAATCAAAGCTCGTTCAAGAGGATCTATGGGGCTCATATAAGGCACTAATGACGTAACAGCGATTTCCACCACAGAAATCATGGATAGCTCTTCATTGTGGGTTGGCAATCTGAGTGCTTTATACACATTGAATACCTCCACTCGATCATCTACTCTCATTGTCATCTTTCCTTCGTATACATCAATAATAGCTCAGCCCGTGGCTAAGAATGGACGCCCCAAAATAAATGGGACATCCTGATCAGGCTCGTAGTCCAAGATAATGAAATCGGCAGGGAATATGAAAGAACCCACTTAAACTAACACATCTTAATTCACTCCTTCAAGATGAGCAAGGGAGCAATCAGCCAACGGTAAGATTACCGTTGTTGGGAGCGGCTCACCTAACCCCAGCTATCGGAACAAATATAGTGGCATCAAATTGATGCTTGCTTGACTACATGCTTACCAATCGAGATTTGGATAGTGGAACTACCCGGATCCTTCAATTACCGAGGTAGCTTGCTTTGAATTCTTGAGCTACATTCAGTGAGTGCCACAGTCTCGAATTTGGTCAACCTCCGTTTATTTGCCATGATGTCCTTGATGTATTTAGCATATTTGGGCACTTCTTGCAAGTTGTCTACCAGTGGAATATTGATTTGCACCTGCTTCAAAATATCAAGAAATATTTTATACGCGGTATTATCCTTCACTTTCTTCAATCCTTGAGGGAACGGAGGTGGTGGCCTCGCAACTAATAGTGGGGGTTGCGTAGCCACCACCTCTTCAGATGGCTTCTCATACTCCTTTAATTTTTCTAATTCTGCCTCTATTGTGGCCTGCTTCTCATTAAAGGTTCCTTGTTTTTTCTTTTTCGACTGGACTTCTTCTAACTGTCTCCCATTGCTCAATGACATAACATTAATCGATGCCTTAGTGTTAGCCTCAGTGTCGCTTGGAAGAGCTCCAACTGGTCGAGTATTTTGTGCACTAACAAGTTGTCCCATTTGTCGCTCCAAATTTCTCATTGTTACTGCTTGGGCCTGCTGGTCAGCCATTACTTTCTTCATCATCTCTGCTGTTTGGGCCTGCTGGTCAGCTATAAATTTCTTCATCATTTGCTCCAACTGGTCTATATTGTTGTTGAGGTACTTGTGGCCTTTACGGATTCTGAGCACCTTGGTTTCCACCCCAAGAGAAGTTTGGGTGGTTCCTCTATTTAGGATTGTAAGTGTTCCCATACTGTTGTTTTGCCCCTATTTTCATTACCCATAAAATAGATAGACTATGGATTAACTGGGCATATGTCGCTCGTATGACCCTCTCCACATACTTCACAAAACAATTGAACCTGTTGCACTGGCTGTGCTTGTTGCTTGTTAATAACAAAGGTCATCTGATTGACTTGGTTAGTCAATGTGGAAATCTGCTCTGATAATGCAGAGACGACATCTAACTCGGGAACCCTTGTAAATATTTGCACCGTGTGTCTGCCCATCTCTCCTTGCCAATCAGGATTGCTTTTGGAGAATTTGTTCATATCATCAAAGCTTTTCTCCAACACTTGACCTCCAGCTGTAGCATCTACCACAATCTTTGTCACTAGGTGTAGCCCTTCTATGAAAGTGTGAGTTAACACTTTCTTTGTCTTATTGTGATGAGGACAGTCTTTGAGCAGCCCCTTGAACATCTCCCAATCTGAGTATAAAGACTCCCCAGCTTTCTGTTTAAAGGCGACTATCTCACTTCTGATCTTTGCAGTTTTGCCTGAAGGGAAGAACCTTGCCAAAACTTTCCTTGCTAGATCATTCCATGATGTAATAGTATTAGCCGGTTCTGCCTTCAGCCATCGCTTTGCTTCACCGAACAGAGAGAATGTGAAAAGTGTGAGCCTCACGTAGTATGGAGTGACTCCGTTAGTGATGTAAGTATCACTGATCTCTAAGAAGTTCAGGATATGCTGTTGTGGATCCTCATGTGGAAGACCTATAAACTGCCCATTTGCATAATGCAGTTGGATCATTCTATGTTTCAGCTCAAAGTGCCCAGTGATTCTGGTCTTCACAATACTGGAGGTGACATTAGCAATGCTGGGCATCGCCACCTCCTGAACAACCATATGTTGCTTCTCTGCCATGTTCACAGGAAATTGAACGAGTTCCTGAAGATTATTTGTGTCCCTTGCTTACATCAACCTCCTATGAAATATTCTCCCGGGTTCGGGGTCAAAGCCTTGAAGTTTGTCCTGGCTTCTGACCCTTTGCATTCAATCAAGGTTCCTAAGAGCAGAGCAACAATGAAGTAAAATTAGACTTGACAAAATAAACAATTATAGCTCTAACTAGAAAGTAGTCAATATTCAAGTCCCCGACAACGGCGCCAAAAAATATTTGCTCCCAAACGCACATGCAAGTATACATGGTCGTATAATCAATAAAATGATAAGTTGCGTGGCAAACCCAAAGAGACTTGTATTAACTACCCACTAAATTCACCAAGATTGTTATTCAGCCGAGACAATATAGGTTCAAAAGTGTAATTATACTAAATAATAATTCTAACTAGTAACTAAATTATCAAGCACCTTCTAAACGGGGTTCCTACAACTATTATTCCGGTAGTCCGGCACAGACTAAGTA